TATATATATATATATATATATATCTTTGAGAGAACTTAATGAAATTTCAAACATAGGCTATGCATGTGAAAAACATTTATGGGGCTTAGTAGATCTCATATCCATTATGAAAGTTTTGAAGGGCTTACTTTTCTTTTTTGCTTTCTAATTTTTAATAGTTTTTATTTCTAATGCTATATGCATCTATTAAAAAAAAAATAAACATCTATTAAAAAAACAATTATGTCCCGACTAATATTTTAGCAGGGGCAAGCTCTAACATCCCTAATCTCAATTCTCCTACCTCTTTAAGTTCTTCTATCTCTGTTCCCTTGTTTCAATTGAATGGTCAAAAGGAGTTTAGAGTTTCGTCTGCTAACAAGTTTAGTGTGCTTCAAGATGATAATGAAGATGATTCCACTTCATCATTGCAGAATGAGGGAATGGAAGATTCCAAAGGGTACTATGCTAAGAACAAGAAAGAAAATTTTGGTAATTCTAATACCAAAATGATGAACTCTTCTGAACCTTCTTCGTACAGAAATACTAGGGGAAAGGGCAACCGTAAAGGCCCTAACCAAAAATCCTAGTTTCTTATGAATTGTCCCTCATTGGCTGCTTGGAATATTAGGGGTTTCAATAACCAGGACAAAGTTTTTTGTTGCAGGAATTTGGTCAATGAGCACAAGCTTGACTTAATTTGTATTCTGGAAAATCGTATCCTCTCTTCTAATCTTCTGGACCCTTGGTTATGCTCCACTCACAAGGTTTTTGACAATGAACTTAGCTTCAATAACTTTAATCTTGCTACTCCTGGACGTATTTGGATAAAATGGAATTCAGGGAAAGTATCTTTTAATCCTATTTATTCTTCTCCTCAAATGATTTCGGGTCATTTACTGGTGGGGTCTCAAACTATCATGTTGTTATCTGCTGTTTACGCTTCCAATTCTTTTGAAGAAAGAAATAAATTATGGGATGAATTGGGGTAAGTCAATCCGCAAGGTGCTTTGCCTTGGGCTGTGATTGGTGATTTCAATACCTGTAGAATTCAATCTGAAAAAAAAGGTGGGAATATTATCACTATGGATAGGCTTTTTCCTTTTTAATTCTTTTATTTTTGATAATAATTTGATTGATCTCCCTTCAACTGGTAACTTTCATACCTGGTTCAATTAAAGACAAGATAATGCCATTCATCTTAAGTTGGACCGGGTTTTAGTGAATGAAACTTGGATTAATCAATTCCCTAACTCTCACTATAATGTGTTTAATTCTTTTATTTTTGATAATAATTTGATTGATCTCCCTTCAACTGGTAACTTTCATACCTGGTTCAATTAAAGACAAGATAATGCCATTCATCTTAAGTTGGACCGGGTTTTAGTGAATGAAACTTGGATTAATCAATTCCCTAACTCTCACTATAATGTGTTGAGTAGCCTTGTATCCGATCATACTCCTCTCATTCTCAGAGATCTCCCTACTAAGAATACCCCTAAGAGGTTTATGTATAAAAATTATTGGAGCCATATTTCGGAATTTTGGAGCATTCTATTAAATATTTTTCAATCTCCGGATCAAGGGAATCCTATTTTAAGCCTCTATAAGAAGCTGAAACTTCTTAAAAGGGAGATTAAAACTAGAAACTGGAATTCTTCCAATCACATTGCTACTAAATGTGCTTCCTTAGCTGTCACTCAAGATATATGTCAGAAATTGATTGATAATGATCCTCTCAACAAGGATTTGTGTGGTGATCTCAAAAGAATTAATGTTAATATTAACTTTTATAATTCTTTGCATGCTTCTTGAACCATTCAAAGATCTAAGATTAAATGGTTAAAGCATGGAGAAGAAGACTTGAAGTTTCTATACTCCAAAATCAAGAAAAGGAAGGCTTTTAATGGTAGCTCACTAAATGCTGCTATGAATCATCATGATGAAAATGATAATGGCAATCATTTTAGTATCATTCAACATTTCAAAAAACTGTATAATTCTGCCCCTCCGGTATTAAATGATACAAGGCTTATTCCTAGAGGGAAAGTGGTACCTGAAAATGCCATTCCTTCATTAGTTAGACCCGTTACCAATGAAGAAATTTATCTGGCTGCTCCAAATCGACACCTGGACCTGATGGTTTTAATTTTGATTTCTATCAAAAAACGTGGAGTATCACTGGTCCTCTTGTTTGTAAGGCTATCAAATCTTTTTTTATTAAGTGCTATTTGCCTAATTGTGCCAAAGCTACTGTTATAGCTCTTGTTCCTAAGAAATCTCATGTTGAAAATATTCATGACTTCCGGCCTATATGTTTATGCAACGTTTTTCACAAAATTATTGCTAATATTTTAGCATGCCGTATGAAAATTATTATGCCTGGTATCATTGAGAAAAATCAATTTGCTTTTATATCTGATAGGATTGCTATTGATAATCCGATCCTGGCTAGGGAAATTATAAATCTTTTCAAAAAGAAGAATAAGATGAATCTCTTTTGTGCTAAATATGATATCAAGAAAGCCTTTGATACTGTTTCAAGGAACTTTCTTTTTGCTCGTATGGCTGATAAGGGTTTTCCTAGTATTTTCATCAACTGGGTAAAAGCATGTATTAATGATATTCATTTTTCTATTTGTCTGGACAGATCTTTGGATGTTTTTTTTTCATCTTCCACGGGACTCAGACAGGGTTGTCCACTAAGTCCATTTCTGTTTTGTATAATTATGGATGCTCTATCTTGTCTCCTTGAGTATAATTCTGAGTCCAGTGGTTTTGAAGGCTTTAATCTGAATAATTTTCAGCTAACTCACCTTGCTTATGCTGATGATTTATTGGTTTTTGGAAAGGCAGATTCTAACAATTGTGAGAAGCTTAAGAGGGTCATTAATTTGTTCTCTATGCTCACGGGACTTCATATGAACCTGCATAAGAGTTCTCTCATTATTTCCCCTAGTGTTTCTTGTCCTAATGACATTTCTAATATGCTTCAAATTCAAAATGTTTCTGATAGGTTTAATTACTTGGGTATTCCTATTACTTTGGGTCGGACTAAGGTGTCTGACTTTGCCCCTTTGATAGAGAAAATCATCTCTTTACTGGCCGGTTGGAAGGCGAAGATGCTTTCCTTTGCTGGGATAATGCAATATATTAAATACACTATCACTAACACTGTGGCTTATTGGATTAGGAGCATGACTTTGCCTAAAGTTATTTACAAACATATTAGTAAGTCATGCTCTAATTTTCTTTATCATGGGGAGACTGATGGCAGGAAACTACATTTGATTTCTTGGAATAATACGTGTAAACCGTATTCGTATGGTGGACTTGGTATTGCTTCTTTACAAGCTTTAAATTTTGCTTTTAATTGCGGTATTATTATGAGATGCTATAACACTAATTCTCCTCTTGTTAAGTGGTGTCTTGCTAGATATAGCAGTCCTTGGAAACCTGCCACGAACACTGCAACTGCTTTCTGGAAAAATATTTGTAATACGGCTGAAATTGCAAGGGAGAAATTCATTTTTTCCATTGGTAATAACAGCCCAATTTCTATTTTATGGGATCATTGGTGTTTAGGGGAAACAATCCTTGATAAATTTCATAATTTTCCCTCTAACATTGCGAAGAATTCACAGTTAGCTAATTGGATTCAGCAAGATGCTTGGAACATCCCGGTCTTTGAGAACCCTTCCATAAGGGATTTTATTCTGAATATTCCAATTGTTCCTGATAATAAGTATCATATTAGTTGGGACAGCAATGGGAATGCCAAATTTAGGGACTTCTATTTATATTATTTTTCTAATGAGGAACAAGTTGATTGGCATCATATGGTTTGGCATAAGAAGCATGCTTGGAGATTTTCTGTTTACTCTTGGATGGCTCTTAAAGGAGGGTTAAAAACATGTGATGTGTTAGCTTCGAGAAACATTCACTTTTTAGATAAAACATGTTCTCTTTGTCACAATAGTTTGGAGACCACTTCACATATTATGTTCGAATGTGATTACTCTTTTAAAGTGCTCCAAAATCTCATACCTTCATTTCAAACTTTTTATTTCAGACCAACGATTTTTTTAGCCTTTCAACATATTGATAATTTGGATAAGCCCAAGAGCATTAAAAATGGCATCCTCCTCATTTTAAATGCTGCTATCTACTTCATATGGATTGAAAGGAACAATAGAAAGTTTAAGTCTATTGCTTTATGTTCTAATTCTCTGACCAAGAAGATCTCGAAAGCTGTTATTATCAAACTTCTGGGTTGGAAGAATGGCATTGAGATAAAAGAAGTGTTGAATCTGGTTTACTGATGCTACTTGTATCTATGACTATTGAAGGGTGGCGCTGTTTTTCTGTTTAAGTTGCTTTGGGGAATTTGATGTCGAATTTTTTGATTACTGTCTCTTCTGTGTCGATGATCAAGACCTGTTTGAATGTCCCTGTGGCTTCCTTAAGCTCGAAATACAGGTTTCTTGGCTGTGTACATTGATGATCACCTGCTATCCACTTTTTGAATGGCCTATGGGCAACCAAAGTGGGTAGGACCCTTCGATGATTGCAGCCAAAATAAATATTCTTAGTTCATCCCAGATTTAAAGGCTCTTTTGTCTGGTTTTTATTTACTGAATACTGTTTAATCTTTTTTTGCATATCCTAGACCTTTTTTGGACAACACCTGCTGGGAAGGAACTAATATGGGCTGGACGTTGCATATGCTGAAAGATGGATCGCAGGAGTTTGAGGATTCTGGAACAAAGGGGATAGTTGAATTTTGTTGATGATCAATCCTTTGATCCTGTCTCTACCTTCGGGTTTTTCGACGGCATGCTTGGATCTGTTTTACCTTCTTTCTGATTGGCTGTGAAAGTCTGATGTTCTCTTCTCTAATGTTCTTTATTTCCTTTATTTCTTTTATGTTGGTTTTCTATAGGTTCGGTTTTATTCATTCTATATTAGTTATAGAATGATTGGTTGTTGTTGTAATTTTCTTTTTTTTATTTCCTGCTTTTGTTTGGACCTTATTGTTGAACTTTTTATCTGTTTTTAATAAAATGGGCTATGCCCCTAATTTCCCCCAAAAAAAAAACATCTATAGTAAATCTCAAATCAAGAGAAAAATAAAATATCACTTTATTATGTTCTTGGAAAGAAGCCAGGGGGGTCGCCTTAATGAGGCTCTGATGTAGATGTGATCTGATTTGATTTAATTAGAGTTGATAGGATTTTTTAATTTAAAAGCTAATTTCTCCTTTTAGAAAAGCATGATCTTTCAAAATAAGGAAGGTCAAATTTTCAAAAAGAACATATTTAACGTACCATTTAGAAGAAGGATCACAAATTAAATTAAATTTTAAAAGAATATGCATAAAAAAAGTGTGAACAGTGATCACGTTTATTTTATTAAAACGTGATTTAATATAGCATTTTCTGTGTTTTTTATTGTTTCTAACTATTATATTTGATTCATTGACAAACCTGCTACATTCTTAAGATATTTTATAAATAGTTTTATTTAAATATTATAATTTGTAATATTTAAATAAAATTATTTATAAAATATCTTAAAAATAAAACATATTTTTAAAAGAATCAAAAGATAATCATTAGGTACAGTAAAAAAAATAGAAAAACACAATATAAATAACTTTTTAATCGAAAATGTGATCATTGTTCACATTTTCTATTAAAACGCGATTTCACTTTGCATTTTCTATTAAAATGCAAACCCCTTTGTGTTTTTGATCATTTTCAAAATGGGAATGCCAAATTTAGGGACTTCTATTTATATTATTTTTCTAATGAGGAACAAGTTGATTGGCATCATATGGTTTGGCATAAGAAGCATGCTTTGAGATTTTCTGTTTACTCGTGGATGGCTCTTAAAGGAGGGTTAAAAACATGTGATGTGTTAGCTTCGAGAAACATTCACTTTTTAGATAAAACATGTTCTCTTTGTCACAATAGTTTGGAGACCACTTCACATATTATGTTCGAATGTGATTACTCTTTTAAAGTGCTCCAAAATCTCATACCTTCATTTCAAACTTTTTATTTCAGACCAACGATTTTTTTAGCCTTTCAACATATTGATAATTTAGATAAGACCAAGAGCATTAAAAATGGCATCCTCCTCATTTTAAATGCTGCTATCTACTTCATATGGATTGAAAGGAACAATAGAAAGTTTAAGTCTATTGCTTTATGTTCTAATTCTCTGACCAAGAAGATCTCGAAAGCTGTTATTATCAAACTTCTGGGTTGGAAGAATGGCATTGAGATAAAAGAAGCGTTGAATCTGGTTTACTGATGCTACTTGTATCTATGACTATTAAAGGGTGGCGCTGTTTTTCTGTTTGAGTTGCTTAGGGAAATTTGATGTCGAATTTTTTTATGACTGTCTCTTCTGTATCAATGATCAAGACCTGTTTAAATGTCCCTGTGGCTTCCTTAAGCTCGAAATACAGGTTACTTGGCTGTGTACATTGATGATCACCTGCTATCCACTTTTTGGATGGCCTATGGGCAACCAAAGTGGGTAGGACCCTTCAATGATTGCAGCCAAAATATATATTCTTAGTTCATCCCAGATTTAAAGGCTCTTTTGTCTGGTTTTTATTTACTGAATACTGTTTAATCCTTTTTTGCATATCCTGGACCTTTTTTGGACAACCTGCTGGGAAGGAACTGATATGGGCTGGACGTTGCATATGGTGAAAGATGGATCGCAGGAGTTCGAGGATTCTGGAACAAAGGGGATAGTTGAATTTTGTTGATGATTTATCCTTTGATCCTGTCTCTACCTTCGGGTTTTTCTACGGCATGCTTGGATCTGTTTTACCTTCTTTCAGATTGGCTGTGAAAGTCTGATGTCTGATGTTCTCTTCTCTAATGTTCTTTATTTCCTTTATTTCTTTTATGTTGGTTTTCTATAAGTTTGGTTTTATTCATTCTATATTAGTTATAGAATGATTGGTTGTTGTTGTAATTTTCTTTTTTTATTTCCTGCTTTTGTTTGTACCTTATTGTTGAACTTTTTATCTGTTTTTAATAAAATGGGCTATGCCCCTAATTTCCCAAAAAAAAAAAAAAATAAACATTCATGGGGGGAGGATTAGTGAATTATTAGGCTTCAATCATTCACTAATCACATCGCTAACCTCGCTTAATTATTGTTTAGTTTCTTTCGTATATGTAGGATGCACTAGCACTTAGTTCAGGCCCTCCTAGATCTAAGGACATGTTATGCTATATTTTTTTGTATTCTTCCTTTATGCTACCCCAAGGGTTAGTATTTAATACTTGATGTAAATCTACTTAACGTAGCGACACCCTAAGGATAATAATTTGGGACCTGTCTAACAAACTTAGAGAAATTCAAGGAGCTAGGACATACCTCCGATTGACACAAAACATTAAACATTTGAACTTAGTAACACTCTAAACCCTGTGGAATTTTTTAGAAATTTTAAAAACTCTTTAAACCCCTTAATTAAAAAACTCTAATTTAACCCCATAATTAATCCCCAATAACATCAAAAAATTCTAATAAATTAAAATTAATTCAACAAATTACTCATAATACATCAAACTCTTCAAAATTTAATGCTTAATCCCAAAAAAATAAATCATCTTTGATTGGACTTTAATTCGAACACTAATTTAATTTTGACTAAAATCACTATTTTAATTAAAGTAAATAATTTAAAATTTCAAATTTTCTCCAAAAATATGGAAACATCTCTTTAAGTCATTTCTGACTTTTGGGGGTGATTCGAAGAAGTTTGAAGCTGATTTGGATAAAAAACCCTAAGTTCCTTAATTAAATAATTTTAATAATTCCTTAATTATCCTAACTTTAAAAATTCATAACTAATTCCAAAAAAATCCAAATTGGGTAAACTAAAAGAAATTCAACTCTGATTGAAATTTATCATTTATTAAAAGTACTATCTTTCTAAAATTCAACAAAAATTAAAAAGTTAACTCTTTGGTCAACAATAGTTCATTGACTAGGGCTCAAAACTTCTAAAATTCATAACTTTGCATAAAAGATTCTAAATCTAGAAAACTCAAAATTTAATTACTCCTTGTAAGGTCCAATATTTAATTAAAATGCTAAAGCCCCAAAATCTAGTCTGTTTCTAGAAGTTAACTTTTAGATATGATGACCTCGGACCTTCTAAAATCCGTTAATTTAACTTAAACTTCATATAATATTATCTTAAGCATTAACATTGACCAACCAATTAAATCAACTAAAATAGAACCCAAGATATTAATATTTGATCTTTAATCAAAATTCCCTTTCAGTCCTGAATAAATCAGATCACAAATAACTTGAACTAATCACCAGATATAGGACATATCCAAAATCACACAGTCTATTACACTTACATAGAATTGCTTTCTTGGGCACCACTTCTATCTCTAGGTTAGGCTAGTGTTTTCCTTTTCTATTTCTATGATATGATGCTCTTACATATAGCACGTCTGCTGGTTATTTCTGTTGTGATATTTCTTTTATTATTATACTTTCTTTATGATATATTATGTGATAGATTACCCATAGGTTAGAGACGATCTTGATACTCATGATATTTTTTTGTAGGTGGTCATGCTCATATAACACTAATAAAGGCGACTAAAATCATAAATAAATTATATGTAAATGCTTACGACAAATACTTCAGCTGCTTAGCCCCCAAATAAATAAAATCATGGTCAAGTATGGCTGGCATGAGTATTATTAAGTACATATATAATTGCTTAGGATGTTTTATATTAACTACTTAGGATAACTATGTAGGAGAGTCTAGATATTCTTTTTCATGATATGGTTGTAATTTGTATATAATATATTGAGTTATAAAAGTCTCTAAAGATAAGGCATTTTAAATATCAGGGATCTAAAGGGAAAAAGAAAGGCTATTCATGGAAAATTTCTTTATCATTTGAATGACCTTCTTAAGAAAGAACCCTACAAAGACCAAAGAAAAGTGATCCGGACGAAGACTTAAAGATGAAGATGAAATGCCTTAATTTTAAGACTGGTGTCATTCAGTAGAATTAAAATCTAAATTGTTGTCAGTGGAGCGTGTCCACCATTACATTTCTACAGACCTTGGGTCATTCTTAAATGGAAAATGACATGGATTTTTTTAACTCTGGTGGTTTTATTTATATTAATTTGTTTACTCTATTTATGCAGTAAAAATTGCCTGCTTTTAATAGGTTTCATTCTTTCATATATATGCACCTGATTTTGTTAGGGTCTTTAAGGATTAAAAACTTTTTCTACTCATAATTAAAA